ATTTATCTATACCTTGATAAAAAAAAAAAAAGAATCAGTAATATTGTTGGCCATGATCTGGTATCTTGGCTACAGTCACTTGTCTCCCAACATAAGACTTCCTTCCTGGGCCATTTTTATAAATATGTTCATGGTAATTGTTCTGATGAGATATTCGCTATGGTACCTAGTTTTTTTTTTAAATTTAAGAACAGTACAAGACTGTCGACGAGGTGTCATTAATTTACAGATGGGCTGTCTAGATTTAACCGTAACTTCTATATTACCATTTTTTCCCGCTTGTGGAACTCCCATTCGGCTCCAGCCATTACAGCCTACTTTGATTTTCAAAAATGTAAATGCATTGTCAATCGCTGTCTACTCTCCTCCAGATTCTTCTTTTGTTCTCGTATATTAGCAAAGTTTCTATTTCTAATCCTTCCTCAACAAGTAGCCCTTTTGTATCTTAGTGGCCTTATTGCTTTGTATAGTGTAACCCCGATTAAAAAAAAAATTATATCACGCGCAAAATGACGGACCTCTTTGAAAATGTTGATGCCGATGAACTAATATCTTTAGTAAAGGAAGTGTGTATCCCCCCACCAATTCTGAGGATCTAACTAGACATTAATTGTTCGAAAATTATCAATATCTCTTCTTCGTTTACTCGCAGTGTCCCTTCAGGTCGTGGGACATCATGGCTGTCTGCAGCAAGGTGTTTCTTTAGCGGAATTCGCTGTCCTTGCTGTGATGTCATTTAACATTAAATAGGTTTATCACGATGTGACTGAATCTTTTATCTTCAACCTATACAGTCAAAATGTTCTTATTTTCTCCTTGTACTCTTTGTTCATTATGTACTACAAATATTTCAGCTGATTGTATTTGAAAACTTCTTTATCATTTTCTTTTAATCTTATTCACTGCTCACTTGTTCTATCCATTCTCAGCATCATTCTGTAGATCAGATCTTTCTTTCTTCAAGTCTTGTATTCACATGTAAAGAAAATTTCCCAGCATTTCCTGCCATGTTATTAATTTGATACTACTAGCGTTTAACAATCTATTCTTTGTTTCTAAGAAATGTTTCGGATCTCTTAATGCTATGTCGAGTCGCTGGAAAACATCTATCCCTATTCCTTCCGATCTATTTATCACATTTTCATCCGTCTATTACCCAGAGAATTAAATTTCATTATTGTAGAGATGATGAAAATGTGATAAACGTTGCCAAGAAATGGAAAAGAGTACTGAACACTGAACAAAGAAACTAGAAACAAATATAGTTAGTCTAAAGCGGAATGGATCAATAAAAATGAGCTCAGAAATAGAGATGATGAGCAACAGAAATACAGCAAGCATGCGCAACGGAATAACAGAATTAACAGGACGAAAGGTGAGCCAAACAACACACAAATCGAAGGAAGGATCAGTGAACCCTTTGCTTGTTCCGTTCATTTTCCTGTGTACTATCCAAACGTTCATGCTTGTTTTCAGATTTATAAATACTGCAAAACAACTCAGCTTATTTAGCAAATATAATGTGCTGATATATAATGTTTCACATAATAAAAACCTACAAATTATAAATTATTTACACTACCCAACACGCAACACGCTAGAGGTTCTCTGGTGGCAACCACTGACAGGCCACCGGCGGACCAACGGTGGAACACTAGCGGCCCGCAAGTAGTAACATTGCCGATAAAAAACGCTAGTGGTAGCTTGCGTGTCGGACACACTCTATGCATCACATGTGATGTACAGGTTTGTATTATGTGAAAGACTATATATATATATATATATCAGCACATTCTATTCGCCAAATAAGCTGAGTTGCCGTGCTGTATTTATAAATCTGAAAACAGCCATGCATCCTGTGGTCATATATGATGCAGAAAATATTATATTAGGCCTTTCCTTAGACGTCCTGCTCAATAGTAGACGCTTTTTTTTGTTAAGCGTCCTTTGTTTTACCACTCTTTGAAAATCATGGCTCATGTGCACCACATCTGATGTACGGACGTAGAAATCACAGGCTCTGGTAATCAGGTATGATGCACAGGACTGTCAAAGTGTTAAAAGAAAAAAAAATAATCCAAATAACTTATTCACGATGCGAGAGAGAAATATACGCAGTAAAATATTCAAATAATAAGTAAGGTGAGCACTGGAGAACATAAACATGAATATGAACAGATACTGATGGAAACGGAACTGAAATAATCTCAGGCGTAGAGGATTCCGGTATTGACTAGAGCACAGAATTAAGAAACTAAATATACAACAGTGGTGAAATACGGGAGAACCAAAGAAAATCCATCTTTGTTAATTTCTTAAGAGATCAGGTGAAAATGAATGTGAGTTCCATCGGACACTCGATTTAATGGTCCAAATAATCGAATCAATGATGCGAATCCTGACGAATATATTGGGATGCAAAATTCGAGTGAAAACAAAACAAGAAAAGGGAGGCTTTTAACACTAGATCAAGAAATACTATATTCATGATTCCAAAGATATATATATATATATATATATATATATATATATATATTATCATTCATACAAAAAAAGAGATATAAAAGTTAATGATATAAATGGCGAGAATACATCTTCCCAAACAAATTTAATAAAGTAAATTAACCCAAAATCACAAACAAAAACGCACAATCTTAAAATTTTAAAATTCAACCCAGCATTGCGACCGCACGCTCCCAAAAAATTTCTTACAATTAACAATAACACATTTAGAAAAACATTTTTCGGATTACATCTATTCTTTCGTTTTCCTGTTCTTACCGGGAAGTAAAAAACAAAAAAAAAAAAACAAAACAAATCTATTTCCATACCTGATGATGTCTGTATGAACAGATGAAAGCTTGTAAAAAAATAAGAAAATACCTTATGCAATTGGAATTTATAAACAGGGATCATAACATTCATCTACAGGTTCAGGGTTAATGTACTTTATTAAAATTGTTTGCGAAGACGTATTCTCGCCATTTATATCATTAACTTCTATATCTGTTTTTTTGTATGAATGATCCATGTAATGTAAAATAAACTACACCACATACTTGATATTATACATACATACACACACACACACACACACACACACACACACACACACATATATATATATATATATATATATATATATATATATATATATATATATGAGAGAGAGATTGAGAGAGAAAGAGAGAGTAATATAAATGCAAAAAATGAGCATTTATTTAGTATAGCTTACGGAAAAGCATTTGACTGGTTATGACTCAAAGATGCATTAAAACGGCGAAGAAAACTATATTTATTTGGAAAAGATTTTAGAATAATCCAGAACTTATACGGTGAGCAAGTCGTCTGCATATCGATAGAATATATGGAAGCTACACAAAGATAGAAGGGGACATGTGACTAGAATGTCTTCCCCCCAGTTGTTACAACCTCTAGAGCGACATTGTCCTATCCGAATGGTACAGCCCCACCGAGGATTTATTATCGATGGGCCGAATCTCAACAATACAAGATAACCAGTAAGAAACATAGCTCTGCACTGGATAAACCTGATGTTTAGGCAGGAGATTGAGATCTTCATGGAAATCGTCAACCAACATAAATTAGAAGAGATAATATTTTAGCTTTGAATTTTAGACTAAATTATCTTTCCTCTTAAAATTGATAATTTTATCGAGAGAAATGCCGATAATTAGTATAAGTTCATGCACAAGATTTTTTCGAGTAGTACAGGTCATGTCCAGCGAGCATTATGCTAAAATCTATATTTTTGCATGAATATAACTTTTAGTTTAATGCTGGCAAATAAATACTATTTGCCATTTGCAATGTTGATCGTTGCTCATATCGTCAAAATATTTTCAAAGACAGAAAATTACTTGAATATCTATTAGCCTCTTCAGACATTAATTCCATAGAATAGGTTTTATCCATAGTTAAGAGAGGATTGAAAAGATCTTTAGAATATAAAACACTTTTCAAGTGAGCAAATTCTTGGAAGCAATACAAACTGTTGCAATAAAGTTAACAGTAAAAAAAGTAGAAAAATAAGAGAAAAATAATTTCGTAGACTAATAGAGATTATATGATTTGAAGGAGTCCATATTAAAAAAAATACAATAATAATAATAATATTTTATGCTTGCTATACTAGACCAATGCTTGCTAACTAGAAATTATCAAGCATAGACACTGAAAAATTGTGTTAATCCAAAATACAGATTCCATGATAAATAACTAGAAACAGTTGATCAACTTGTATTAGGTTGTATGGTGTTAGTACCCACTAAATATAAAACTCGACATGATAGTGTGAGCCAATATCTGCACTGGAAAATCTTCAACTTTTACGGGAAGGAAACTGCAATTGGTATGAACACCACCAAGACCCAGTTACAGAGATAGGACCTGTAACAATTTTATGGGATTTACAATGCACACAGACTGAACAATCAAAGTTAATCGCGCAGACATCGTGATTAAAGACCACACAAAAAGAATATGCGTTCGTATTGACATGGCAGTCCTTGCAGATTGTGATGTATATTGAAGATCTTCAAAACACAGTCACAATACAATGATCTTCAAGTGGAAATCTCAAAATGTAGCCCATGATGATATCAATAATTCCATTGGTAGTTGGAGCCCTCAGGCGGATTGAATTGCGTCATGGTGCTCTTTTTCTCACAGACAGTACCCAACTGGAACTAATATGATGTGCAGCCGACAAAATAAAAAAGTAGCAACGCACACCCGAGAAATTAAAAATATAAGATTGCGACAATTTAAACATCGCACCATATGTGTGTGTGTGTGTGTGTGTGTGTGTGTGTGTGTGTGTGTGTGTGTGTGTGTGTGTGCGTGTGTGATGTAAGTGTTATATTGATGCGTTTACTAGAAAAACACACTGAAAATTTCGAAGAATGTTACTTTGGCTCAGTTATTGATATAACAGGACTTTTATTTGAGTAATTGCTATCCATTTAATATCTGATATTGCGTTGAAACACCGGTCCCCGTACAATCGTCGAAGTTAAGCAACCATGTGCCTGAGCAGTATCTAGAATGGTGACCGTTTGGGAATATCAGATGCTGTAAACGTGTATGTGTGGAAGGTGACTCGGATAATGACTCGGAATTCCCGTTTGGTTCATTATATTCATCTACGGACAAATACCTTTGGTAAAAGTAATAATCCGCCTCTTCCCTCCAGCTATGGGTTAATTAGTAAAGTGTCTATCACTGTACCAGTATTATTTAAAAAATAAATCAGTACAAAATATTTTAATTTTAAATAACCTAGGTTGATATGCCGCTACATAAAATCAGTAAACTGGTATAGTGATTTTCTAAGAGCTACTTACATGTGGCGCAAGGCCGAAAGTATGGGGCAGTTAGTGAGGATCGAACTCCCTATTCAGTCGTAATTGTTCAAGCGAGTCAAGCTTGTTAACCATTACACCATGTCTAGGTGCTCTATGGTGATTTTCTAAGTCTGACTTAGTTGTGGCACAAGGCCGAATGTATGGGACGCTCAATGATGATCGAATTCACTACTCAGTCTAATTGTTCAAGCGAGACAAGCTTCCTTAACATTGGGCCACGCCGAGGTAACCACAAACTAACTTATATGAGTTGGTAACTTATTTTTTAAAGACGGCATACGATTGGATTAAATGCATTTGATCATACAAATCAAGTTTTAATTGTTTGTAACCGTTCTTAGGTTGATAAGAAATGAATAAATATTTTAAAGTATCGAACTTAAAAGACTGTCATTCGTCTCAGACAAAAACGGAACACGGTTAGAATGGTCACCATTCTGCCAAATCACCGGCAGTGAATCGGTTCCCTTTTACTACGCCCACACAAGTGAATCATCCCTCAATCCCTACGCATTTCATGTGCAAGATGTATGTCACTCACAGGCAGCTTCTTCTCAAGCATCGCTATTTTTAGAACAGATTCCCGATTCGGTGCTTCACTGAACACTAAAATCTAAATATCTTCAAGTTTAGAGTCAAATTTTACCCATCATACATATCAACATCTACTTCCTCATCTTGCATTGATATAACAGGTTCATTAAGCAACACTCTTATGCTTTGAACATTATTATTATTATTATTAAAATAAAACGGCAAAAAATTAAGATAACTGAATGGACACACATCGGGATGTATTTTCCAACTGAAGCCCATTGGTGTACACCTGTTCGTACGCTTATCGATCTAACCCCGGAATTAAAATTGAAAACGGTAGGGTGTCGAATCTGTGAATATGAAAGATGGGATAAAAAGTCGATGCTTTACGGAATTGCTTTTTGCTGGATCATTTGCGAACTGCTGGGATCTTTTTTTTTAATTGTATATGATGCAACAGGACATGACAAATGCAATTTGTAGGGATTTGTTTTAATTGTTGTGGCTGCCTCCAACTGCCAAACAAGGTTTGTGCTGCTGCTGTTGCTGTTAATGCTTCTAAATCCATGATTCATAACGACACGAAACGCATATTTATTCAACTTTGCCACGACAACGCATCATGAAAAGCAGTATTTAAAAAAAAAAAGAATTATCGTAAAAATCCAAACAAAACGCAAAAGTGACACAGAGCTTTCAAATGATATAATCAATCGATATAATTTAGATAATGTCGTTAAAAATGATATAATAGCAGGTTATATTAGCATATTGTTTAAAGGATATTGTCATATTAAAATGTTATATAAAACGTTATATTAACATGTTATATTCGAATTTGATATGTTGTTATGCATTAAAATATTATATCCAAAAGTAACATTATACTGTTATAATATCTCAATATGTTGTATTAAAATATACTGTTTTCATTAAAATGTTGTATTCACATGTTTTATATATATATATATATATATGTGGGGTATGGAAACTTTGGTATATCATGACTGTTTTTTATATATGTAAGTATGTGTGCATAAAAGTTTGTGTGTATATATGTGGGTGTATTTAGGTTTATATGTATATGTGCGTGCATGTGTACTTGTTATCATAGATATGTATATGTGCGTATATGTTTATGTTTATATATTTATTTGTATGCATTTCTGTATGTAAATATATATGTATATGTATGTATGAGTGTATATTTATGTGTGTTAATTTGTTTTTGCTCCCAAATGTATATATATATATATATATATATATATATATATATATATATATATGGTTGTGTGTTTCTGTATACTGTTTTCCTTGCCTAATATATAATGAAGCTATTATCAACTTATATGATTAATATATATTTTTATTGATATTTATGGTTTTAGAATTTTCGTTTTAATATATTAAATAATATTATTTTTAACCATTTTTATCTTTGTATATTTGCTCCCTTAAGTTATAATTCAATAAGTGGTTAGCATTTATTTAAGTCTGAAATATTTATTGGTTGTGATTTCTCATTGTCTGTCATTGTCTGTGGATGTATGTATGTGTATCTATCGGTGTCTATGTGTATGTAGAGTGTATTCACTGTGTGTGTGTATTAGTGTTAGTTTCCACGTCTCCCTTTTTTCATAAAGGGCTGTAGAGATGTTCATGTTTTTCCCCACCACCTCCTTCTTTTTTTCTTTTTTTTTTCTTTTTAGTGTGTATGTATGTGTGTGTGTGTGTGTGTGTGTTTGTGTGTGTATGTGTGTGTGTGTGTGTGTGTATCTAATTATGTCTGGGTGCTTATGTATTATAATCTGATTGTGTTTTTGTTGTCTTGACGCGTGAGTTTAAGACCACATCCACAAACTTTAAAATAAAAACGGAAATGAAAGGGAAAGGAAAAATATATATATACATGTATTATCAAATGACCGGATATATTGTAGCGTCCTTGTCGAACATAATTTCAATGAAGAAATGAATTGAATAAACATATATATTTTTTTTTTTTTCTCAATAATTTTGTAGTTTTTAAACTTAATAGTGATTAAATTTGGATTTTAAAATTACCAATTTTTAATTTTAATATTAAATTTTATCATATGATTTTATAATTATTAGTTAGTATAAATTATTTTTAATATTACACGTATTTAAAGATCTGAATAGCTATTATAGCAGGATTTCGTTGTCAAGCTTTTGAATCTTTCTATACTTCGTTTTTTGATTGGTTATTCTAGCTTTTGTAACAATGCTCCCCTAGTGTAGGATCGTTAATTAATCTGAAACTTTTAAAACCATTTATTTTATTTTCAACATCATCACTTGAGAAGACACAGAATGTGTTGAAACAAAATGGCTATTTTGTAGTGATCTTATAACATACTTATGTTATAATTTTTTATAAAAAAATAATTATATATATATATATATATATATATATATATATATATATATATATATATATATATATATATAATTGCATTAATCATTCATACAAAAAAAATATAGAGGTTAATGATTTAAATGGCGAGAATAAATATTCGCAAACAATTTCAATAAGATACACGAACCCCGAACCTGTATATGAATGATATGATCCCTGTTTATAAATTCCAGTTGAATAAGGTCTTTTTTAGTTTTTAGTAATTGAAATTAAAATAACTGATCCAACGTGCAACTTTCGGATAATAAGTGTAATTACTGTAATTATTGAACAATATAGTTCATGCCACATTTACGGAAAACTTACCAGTAAAAAAGAATTCTCTTATTGCTATATTTGTACAAAAACGCACAACCTTAAAATTTAAAATTCAAACTCAGCGTTGCGAACGCACGTTCCAAAACAATAACACATTTCTCATAGCATTTTTTCGGATTACATCTCTATTTTCGTTGTCCTCTTATTACCGAGAAGTAAAATACAAGAACAAATCCTTTTCCATACCTGAGGATGTCTGTAGGAACAGACGAAAGCTTGTAAAAACTAAAAAGACCTTATGCAACTGGGATTTATAAACAGGGATCATATCATTCATATACAGGTTCGGGGTTAGTGCATCTTATTGAAATTTTTTGCGAAGATGTATTCTCGCCATTTAAATCATTAACCTCTATATTTGTTTTTTTGTATGAATGATTAATGCAATATATATATATATATATATATATATATATATATATATATATATATATTAAAAGTGAAATTTACGAAAATGAAATTTTTAAATGATTTTATATAAAACGTTATATCAAAATGTAATGTTATACTTAAAATTTATATTGAAAAAGTTATATGATATGAAAATGCTATGTTGAATTGTTATATTAAATATGCTGAAATTTTAATAATGGAAAATCTATATAAAAAAATTAATATTTAATTGCTATATTAAAATATTAGCCGGTATTAAAATCTCTTATTAAAATGTAATATTAAAAATTGATATAATTTCATCTCAAATATTATTATATTAAAATATTGACTTAAAATATATTATTAAAAGTTGCAATATGTTTTATAGTTTCTTTTCTACGTCTGCTCTCAACATTATGTCATCTTCATATATTATGACGTTAAGTTTGTTGTTGCCGATAAGGAATTCAATTTGGACTTCTAATTCTCTCTTAAATTACAACCTAGATATTTAAATTTTTGTACTTACTTCATTTCGATGCCTTCAATTTCTATTTCACACCTTCGACTGGCCTATATTTTATAGATTATGTACACGCGTTTGATAAGGTACGACAGACGGAATTGTCTAAATTGCTTCGTAAGCTGAACTTATTTGGAAAATATATTGAATAATACAGAACATATAACTGAGTGAAAACCGCCTGTATAGAACATGAATTCATTAAATACAAACAAAAATAAAACATGGAGTAAGACAAGGTTGTATCGTCTCGCCGGACTTTTACGGTGAGGTGATCCTAAGATAATTAGTTATGAATACCAGTACTTATCATTGGAGGTCACAATTTAACAATGAAAGATAGAAATGTGGCACAGTTTTTTATACAGACACCGCGAAGAAAAAACAGTAACTCCTGCAGTATGTAGTAGAGGAGAGCGAGAAGAAAGGACTAAATATCAATGGTAAGAAAACAGAATATTCGGTTGTCAATAAAAGGGGTAGCCAATATGTTAATTATGAATTGATGGCATTAATCAAG